GTATTGTATTGTGTAAATGTGGTGTACGTCTAGGTTTTGTATGTGTGTATTTTATATGTTTGTTAATAAAAAATAAAAAATAATTTAAAAAAGGAAATGGAAGAGGTCACAGGAGAATTGCACTCCCCAAGCAAAAGTGAGTAAATTTCTTTAGTATTCAGCTTTGTGCCCAGATCCAGAGTGTAGACTGAGTTGATGAGCAAACTTGGACTATTATTCTCCCTGATTTGCATGTCATATGCAAACTTTTCAAAAATGGGAGGGTTATCATTGACATCGGAGATCTGAACATTAATCAATCTTGTTGAAGTGAGCCTAGGAGATCAGTTGCAGTGATGGTGTTGTTGTGCTCCGAGTCTCTCTCTCTGTCTAGGGGACTTTGGAGCACAAATGGGTAAAAGTTGTTTATGGTGGCTTTGAGCATAAAAGGAAGATCCATCTCCATGGAGCAGACCATTTGGTTGTCTCTGGTTATCTCCAGAGTCTTGATCTCTAGGACTGAAGAGGGCCACAAACTTCTCCAAAGCCGAATCCTCCTTTAAGATGCTGGTCAGAGATATGATGGACACTTCTGGGGCATTGTCATTGACATCTTCAACCTCTATAAGTATCTTGAAGTGCCCTGAAAGACCCCCTCCATCTGTTGCTCTGATATTTATGCTATAACTCTTTTCTTTTTCATAATCAATCTGTCCCCTAAGAGTGATTTCTCCAGATTTTTCATTTAAAAGGAACAAATTGTTTATTCTTTCAGGCTTTCTGTGGAATGAGTAGGTGACTAGTGCATTTAAACCAAAATCAAGATGTGTAGCTTCTACTTTAGCCACCGCAGTGTCCGTAGGAAGGTTTTCCTTCATTTTTACCTTACATTCGGATTGGGAAAATCGAGGAGGGTTATCATTTATGTCCAGAATATCAATGTTAATTTGAACAGTGCCTGTTTTCTGTAGTACCCCACCATCAACAGCCATTAGGGTGATATTGAGACATGGCATCTTTAGAACAAGATCCACGTTGTAAATTCCGTCTTTGTTCCTTTGCACATGAAGCCAAAAATATTGATTGGTGCTGAGTGTATCATTTTGGATGCTGTTTTCTCCTAGATCCTCATCATCTGCAGATCCTAAGGGAAGTACCATATTTGCAGGAACATTCTCAGGCATTTCTATCTCAAATTCATTTTTAGAGAATTTGGGAGCGTTGTCATTTATGTCTTCTATTATTATTTCAATCTTGTACGATTCCAAAGGGTTGTCAAGCACAACTTGAGATGTAAGTATGCAAGCATCTGTCTGGCTACACAGAATGTCAAGGGAATATCAAGGGAGAAATACTGCTTAGGGCTTTCAGAAATGAGATGGGCTCTGCGATCAATGAATTCCTGTACTTCCAGTTTCAAATCCTTCAACACATTAGCCACTTTAGAACCACTTTTGGTTTCTTCAGGTGTAGAATAGTAGATTGAAATACATAAGGCTCCAGGCAGACAAAGCAACCAAAAAAGATACATACCTTGTATACTCCTGATGATTCAGGACTCTCCTTAATTCTTGAACAGAATATAAATCTCCTTACTTTCATCCAGTTTTTGTCTCTCACAAAGAGATGATTTCCTGCTGCTTTACCTGACAGTTTTCATCTTTTCGTTGGTTAAAATCTTCTTGTCTCCTTGCAGAACCCTACTCTTTGTTCTCTTCCGCTCAAACCAAAATTCTGAGTTCCCAGTAATATGTTTGCCTATTCTGCCACCATGTGGCTGTTTGAGGAATCTGCCTCTAGGACTGCTTTCATGAATCTGTTCTAAAGGCAGTAAAGGCCTTACTGTTAAAGCCATAAAATCATAGCTTTAAAGGCTCTCTATCTATTCAAAATATGAATATTCCACAGGAAATAGTGGCTCTTAAGGTTGGTGTGATTCCAGTTACTTCATCCACAAAAAATAATATTATTGTTCAACAGGACATTGAGAGAGAGGGATACAACTCTAGCATTGCAATATAATTTTCCCTGAGGGTGCCTAGAAATAAATTATTTAAATTATATCAGAACAGAACAATAAGAGGAAAGGATCTATGTTAATAGATTTAACATAGATCACATTTTACATTTAAATTTAACTAATTTTAGTCACAGAAAAATATGAATGAAGTCCTTATATGTAACTATAGGGAATCCTTATTTTGAAATTATTAGTTTTAATTTTTTTAAAAATGAATGTGATCATACTATTAGATCTAGGAAGAGAAGATAGGATGGATTATTTCTGAAGTAAGAGTTACTTTATTCAAAGCCTCTATGCTCCCTATCTGTTGCACTTTTCTTTCAAAGTAATCTTTCAAACTCAAAGAATCACATGAAATATGATTATGACTTCCTCAAAAATGGACAGGAATGAAGATTACAAAAGCAAAATACAGAGAAACAGTGAGAAAGGAAAAGGAAAAGGCAGCAAAACAAAGCAAAGCAAAGCAAAGAGATTTATTAAGAAATGCATACCAGACAAAGCAATCTTCTCAAAGATAAATCTTTTGTAGAATTAATCACAAGAAAACTGTTCTATAGTTGACAACATATTCAAGTAATAAAATATTATAAATTAAAATGTAAAATTGTTTGAAATGCTTTAATACTATTCCCACTTTGGTCATCAGTTTATCTTCCTTAATATGAGTTTTGGTTTTATGGGAATCTGTAGAATTTCTTGTATGCATTTGGATGCAAACAGGATCCATTAAAAAAAAAACCTAGGAAACAGGCCTCATTAAAAATCAACCAGTGAAACCTATCTCATAGTTGTATCAGAACTAGGATCGCCACCGTTTTCTTGCAAATTGTGTTCCAAAATTACATTAGATATAGAATTAGTGCTGCCCATGAATGTCTGACATTTCTGAAATTAGATTACAATTAACAATTAAGGAAGACAATTATGATAAAATGATTCAGAAAATTAAGAAAGATTTGAAAAATTGGAGGAAAATGCAAGTATTAATGGGAAGAATTGCCATTGTTAAAATGAATATCCTACCAAAAATTTTATTTTTATTTCAAGTGGTACCGATTAGCCTAGGGAAAAACTTTTTCATAGATTTAAACAAATTAATTGCACAATTTATTTGGTCAGGAAAAAACCATGAATTAAATCAATTTTTCAACAGAAAAATGGACGCTGATTTCTTCTCCGATGTTTCTAAGGGGTTTCTCTCATCCAGTAGGGAAGTTGCTTGCCTCCTCACCGTCACTCACGCTCCCCCTCTCTCCTGTTGATCCCTCCAGGTTCAATTTTGTCCTTTTTTCAGGATTTTCACCACAGAAACTCAAGCAAAGCTAGTGGCTCTACCATTCCTTTGCCCGCTCCACCATGACGTCACCGCAGGAAGTCTACTGTATTTTTTCATTTCAATTGTTCCAGCAAGAATAAATTCTCAATATTTCTGTGTAACTGAAATGATCTGAGTACTCTTTCTGATATTTGGCCAAAAGAATATGTAATATGATCATTGGTTTTGATGCCTGTGTTGCCAGCTTCCAATTTAGCAACAAAGATATCCAATTGCTTTCTCTTAATTTCACTTAGTAACCTGATTGTTCAACATAAGGACAATTATCATTAATGTCTAAAACATCAATATTGTTCCAGTGGAAAGCCTCCATCTACAGCATTAAAACCATCTGTGAAATATTCTTACAATTTAATGATTTGTCTAGTATCAATTCTGCATATTTATTACCATCACTGTTATTTTGTGCTTCTAACCTAAGATATTCATTTTAATTAAATCTGTAGTTCTGAGCAGAACTTTCTCCTTTGTCTGAATCTTCAGTCTTTTCTGAGAGCAAACATGTGTTGGTGGAAACCAGCTCAGGTAACTCAAAATGAATTCTTTTGGGGTGAATTTGGGGTAGTTATCCTTCACACCATCTGTTTCAACATCAATTCTGTAGCTGCAATGGATAGTCCAACAATTTCAGAGAGTAGAATACAAGGGTCAGTCTACCACACAGAACCTCTCAATTAATGTTATTCTTTATTATCACATTTCTTATATGAGGATCCAGATGAAAATACTGTTTGGAACACTTAGATCTCAGTTGGTTTTTCTGAAAAGAAAGATCCTTAACATCCACTTTAAAATCTTTTAATATGTTAGCTATCATAGAATAACATAGAATAACGGAGTTGGAAGGGACCTTGGAGGTCTTCTAGTCCAATCCCCTGTTCAAGTAAGAGACCCTATACCATTTCAGGCAAGTGGCTCTCAAGGCTCGTCTTAAAAGCCTCCAGTGATGGAGTGCCCACAACTTCTGAAGGCAAGCCATTCCACTGATTAATTATCCTCACCCTCATAAAATTTCTCCTTAGTTTTAGATTGCTTCTTTCCTTGATTACTTTCCATCCATTCTTTCTTGTCTTTGCCTTCTGGTTCTTTGGAAAATCAGTTGATCTCCTCTACTTTGTGGCAGCCTTTCAAATAGTGAAATAATGCTGTTATGTCTCCTCTAGTCCTTCTTTTCAGTAGACAAGACAAACCCAATTCCTACAACTGTTCCTCATATGTTTTAGTCTCCAGTCCCCTAATCCTTTTTGCTGCTTTTCTCTGCACTCTTTCCAGAATCTCAACATCTTTTTTTATATTCTGGTGCTCAAAACTGGATGCAGTATTCCAAGTGTGGTCTTCCTAATCAAGAATCCAGTTTTTGTTTCCTCAGATACTGAATACATAATGGATTCACACATGGCTGAATACATGCAAAGATAAAGGGAAAAAAAGCTGCTAAAACTTGCCTGCTGTTGAGATACATTTCCATTGTTTCAGGTTCACCTCATAGCAGATGGTTGAAAGAACAGGTTTCTTTCTAGGTTATCCTTTTGACATTTTATCTGTCCAGTTTTTACATTTTATAATAGGATTTTCATCAGTGTAGATTTTTTTTGAAAGTAAATTCAGCTGTCTTTTTGTTGCTGTTGTCTTATGCCACTCCTTTTGCCATCTGGCTACAGTTCTTTAAGAGGGCAGGTACTCCCTAATCTGTTATTCTGCATTGTGATAGCACCACCTTGTGCTTGATTTGGATACAACTTCCATTAATACTGATCTACACAGAAATATAGTATGTCTTTTGCAATAAATGTTTTTATAAAATAAATGTTACAATGTAAACTTGTAATAATTAAGTATTAAACTACCTTTCTCAGTTTAGCTTATTTAATATGCAAACTCACCAGCATGGTATCTAATGTGGCCTCTAGAAGGAACCAAATGTTATCATTTAAATATAACAAAATTCATAGCATTAACTTGATATATATTTATTAATATGCATCCCATCTCTCAACTATATTTGCCTGACTGGGACAATCAGTTCTGCTAATGTATAAAACTGTCATCAATGCCAAGCTTGTCTCCACAACCCAGATTCTAAAAAGCAGCATAAAAAAGCAGCTACTGACAGCAC